GCGGCTGTACTTCCTGAGGAAGCTGAGGAGGTTTGGCATGTCACCTAGGATCCTTTGCAACTTCTACAGCTGCATCACTGAGAGCATCTTGCTATGGACTGCAAGCGCCTGCAGAGTGTGGTAAAGACTGCAGAGAAGATCACCAGGATTCCACTGCCCTCTCTGCAGAGCATTTACCACCGCAGGATGCGTAGGAAGGCTGCCTCCATCCTCAAAGACCCCACCCACCCCCAGCATGGAGTGTTCGCCTCCCTACCCTCTGGCCAGAGATTCAGAAGTGTGAAATATAGGACCTCTAGACTGAGAAACTCTTTCTTTCCCTCTGCCATCAGACTCCTAAACAGCTGAGGAGTTTATTACCAGGAAATACGTCATGTACTGTCGACCTGTACTGTTTACGGTGTCAGTTTGCACATGTATAATTGCACAATGACTATTGACTGCTGCACATGCTTCTCCCATGCAGCATACCTTCTCTTATTATATTCTATTTTTGATTATATCTCTGCATTTTGCTGCTTTAAAGTGCCTTAGATTTTGTGTTACTTATTTATCTACTTTATATTTCATTTGTATTTTGTGGCTTTCATGTGGACGGCAAAGTAAGAATTTAATTGTACAGGGAAACACGTTTCCTAACTGTGCATATGACAAATAAACACTTTGACTAAAATGTTAAACATGGGTAACAATACTTTCTAGTGCCATAAATTTAGCCAGAACCAGATTCTGTGCAACTGTGCTTTAAGCTCAGTCACAGTGAATAAAGGAGTCCATTATTGCTTCTAGACTCATGTAAACTGGTGTTCCGATTATAAAAATCTTTAGAAAAAGCCTGATTTTATAAATTATGAAGCTAGCCACAAAAAAAAAAAAAAAAACTTTTGGCAATATTACAAACCACAAGAGAATGTTTTTCCCTTAAAAGTATCTTCTAACAATCAAATGTTTTGAAACAGACACTCACAGCACAGCAGCCTCTGGGTTGAGTGGCTCCGTGGTACTGATCTTATAGAAAACTGTACGTGCATACATCAGAACTTGCCATATGTGGTTGTGATTCCGTCTACAAGAACAAAACATAGGAAGTTGTCATTATTACATGAATACTGTTTTTTTTGGATGATGCAAAACAATTATTCCATAAGCATAAAAGCAGAGGATATACCTCCATTTGGTGAAAACTCTTCTGACATCAAGCTCTCCAGAGACGGGGTCAACAAGCGGGTGGAACACTGGGATGTCAAATATTAATTTCTAAAATGAAGCACAAGGAAAAGATGCTTGAGGGTTTCCCCCAACTTTAATCTCTATTATACGAGTTTTATAACAGTTTAATTTTCACTACTGCTGATCAAATTAGAAAGGTTAATAATTCTACTCTCCTCTTGTGGCATTTCACTGTTCAAATCTTTCAAACCATAAACATATGCAACATTACTGCATGACTGGGTGCACAGAAAATCACTTCATCTAAATATACTCTCCAAATTTATTATTCCTGTTCAAAAATTATACTGCCAAAGTTACACTACTCACAGGACATCCTCCATCTGGATAGTTATCAGGAATATACACAGTAAATTTGAAGACCCCATCCTGGTACAAGCCATGCCTGATGAATATGACCCCAAACCACACTAGAGAGTGGGACACACACACAATATTTTTAGACTACGTTCACACTGCAGGTGTTAATGCTCAGATCGGATTTTTTGCCGAAATCCGATTTTTTTTGCGCTGTTGTTCACACTGTCATTTAAATGTGACTGCCATCTGTCTCATGTGTGAA